CCGGGTCATAATAAAGATGGTGAAAATGTATTCTAATTAATATATTACCTCAGTTAAAAACTCAAAAGATGAAATTGCTAAATAACTAACAAACATATTTAACATCCGGGTACTTTTCAAAGCTATGACGTTTTAGTATCTCATCGCATTCGTATATGCCATTGTACATATCCGTTCATGCTGCCAAGCATTGTGTACTACTAGTATAAACTGAACTTTTATATGCACAATGTGCTTTTTAAAACTTAGAGCCTTATGCGTTTGAACCACAGTATTCTGAGAGTGGAAGCCCAATTGCGTTAAAGTACCGTACTTCCCCGATCGTAAGCCCCTCCCGAGTATGAAGCCCATCCCTATATTTTACTAGGTATTTATCGAGTCGAGAGCATTCACGATTATAAGCCCAGAGTGTTTTTACTGGGCGTCGATGATATTCTTTAAAATATGCGTGTAAAAGATAATAATCGTGATTGGCATGGTAGTTTGGTTCGTGCTTTTGGTTTATGAGAAAACTCGCATTAATTTCAGAGGGCATGGCGAACGTACACAACGTGGTTCGCATCCTTTATATTCTGTCATTTACTCAGAATGAACCCCGATGTTGCAATACTGGAGTAATCCATATTTCTTTCAAAAGCCAAAAATTTGATCGTTAAGCCGTGTACCTGGTTATTGGGCATGGTTTACTTTGAGACTATCATGAAAGGCCTAGGGTTTGAACGATGTGACATGATGTTGGCGACCGTGATTTTCAGCATCATCACTCAAAAAGTTATTGATTGATTCCGAAAAACTTCTTGGACAGGTTATATTTGATACTAGCGTACACCATTTAAATACTGGATATGGGTAGGATTGAAATGGAAATAACAATGAATTCTTACTAAAAACGTAGAGATGGATTTTTATTAAATTATTGGGAGCAGTTGCCCTTAATACGGACTAATTGAGTACTCTTTGTTAGAGATGTGGGTTGCATTGTCATAGTAACAGTAATTTTGGGAATGATTTTTTACTAATAATTCAAAGGCGTATTAATGGGTTCTCGTGAGATTTGTCAAGAGGAGGTGCTCTTAACACGGAGTAATTGATTGGATTTCGGCGAATATACAGATATGATGCTACAGCACTTGTTTTTTTCATTCATAACTTAACAAATTCTGTACATATTTACTTGAATACAAGGACAGGGCCATTACCAACATTTTAAGCTAGCTTTTGGGTCATCTTATGTGGACTGACTAGTTGGATTGCTAGCCGACTATCATTTAGATGCAGTTTTTCACAATCATGGTCGTGAATTATAACAGAAATAAGCCAAGAAGGAATAGAGTTCAGAAAATTAAATTATGTTTGGTGAATTAGTTATTGTGTTGGTGAACTGTTAAAAACATTAAATCGGATTCGATTTCAATGACTTTGTTTCCCATGTCACATGACCAACACGATCTATCCATTAACTTAACCTCTTATCATATAGTTAACTTATTCAAACAATCTCGAAAAGCATACGTCTAAATGAAACAAACAATTCCCATTCCATACATTATAATAATGATTGTTACAATTGTATAAGTAATGGTACATAAAATATTATTTGTTATATTTTAATAAGCATGCTTTCTGTATCTACCAATGTAGATCTTGGTTCATCCCCTCACATTAAAACATTCAGTGAGTAACCTGAAATTGAATAGCCACATTTCCGTGATTCTGCTTACATATCAATAAAAAAGTAATTAAACGACCGTATACCGTATGTTTATTTGTTTATTTTGTTACAATGACCTTGATTTCGTTTATGTCTTTTATAAGAATTAATTTTGAAAAGGAGGGCATTATTATACAAAACTTTCCCATACCAATTTTTGGAGTATTATTTTGCACCAATTATATAAGTCTATGGGCTACTGTAGACCTCCTCTCTCCCTTGGGGATTTTCAATGACCATAATTTTTAGTTAGCCAAGACCCTCACCTATCTTAATCAGGTTGATAACCATAACATATGTGGTGGGTGTGAAAGCCACGGTTGTTGCCATGGCAATGTGTTTATGAAATAAGGAAAATGAAGAAAATGACAAGTAAACAACATACAAACTCAAAATAAATGTATATGTATATAGTTTTGATGATGCCATGTTGATTATGACCATGACCAGGGTCATGGTGTAAACAAAAGAAATGTTGAAAAATGATTTTTATTTGAAAGTTGAGGCCAGAATCAATTGTCCGTCATTTCAGATGGATGACACCTAAGCATATACTGCTTGGAATGTCATTATGGCATTTGACAGAAAGAGCAGACATCGTGAAGTTGGTGAACAGATTTGGGCAATGTGTGTCATATTCAGTTATATTAGAAATCCTGACTGCTATCCACATGGTTATAAAATGGTAGTTCAATTCCACATGACAGTCCATTTCAAGACACAAGGTAATAAAGAGCTGCACTCCTGTTGGGACAATTTTGATGTCAACGAAGAGACAACATCTGATGCTGGAACAACTCACTCAACTCATGGGCTTGTGATTCACGAGACAGTCATTGACCAATCAAATGATGACAATTATGAATTACCTGACATGGCTAGGACAAAGAAGCGATCAGTGACAGATGAAGTTGAAATAATGGAGCCGTGTTTTTTTTTCAAAAAACATGTTGAACCCAGCCTTAGTGTTCAGATTACTGAGCCTCAACAAACAAGAGAATATGTTTCAGCCGTCAAAGTATCTGCTATGGATGCTGTGCAGAACACTGCCAAAAACAGTTATCCAAAAAGTACCTAGTTGGGGAGGTTGGATTTCTCTTACTGGAGAGAGAGGGGAGTAAGAGGATCAATAGTGGAATATATGGAAAGCATGACTGTGATGCATGTGATAAAGATTTCTCAGGAATCATCTGCTGTTGTTGGTCAACCCTACACGATTGTTTCATTCGATCTAGCTGCTGCATATGGAATTGTATGGACGTATCCAAATCGAGTCAAGAATGTCATCATTCAACTTGGGAATGGTAAAGAAGTACAAGTACAAGTTGCGTGCTGGAGAAAAGGGTAAAACACCACAGTTACGGATAGAGTATATGTATAAGGCATGGCTCCTTATGAGTTTCCTGAGGGCTACTAAAGCCAATGATATCACCTTTCATATGGCCTGTCTGCATGAA